TACATACTGGTCTGAGAAATGGCATAACCAGGACCTTTCAGAGAAAACTGTAAGGACATTTTCCCACACCTCCAAAGTTTAGTCATAGAAGTTGGATCCTTTAATGCTCATGTTTTTTCCAAACTAATTCAATGATGTTGACCTCAATGAATTTGGGCTTTGAGGTGGCCAGCTTAGTTCCGAGAACGCCAGCAGCTGTCCTGTTTTTTCACTTTCTTTCCCCTTCTTATGCAAGTAGATCACCTTTTATCTAATATTCATACTCAGAAGGATCTCTTGAAAAAATTTATATCTTTATAACTTAATGGCTGTTTTGACTGTAAAACAAATGAAGGTTGGTCTCTGACTTTTTCACAGTACTCTGTATTCGGTGGGGTCCAAAAGTCAGACCACATTGAAAACCAGGGATTTTTTCATTTGGAAAAACTTGGAAACAAAACAACAGAACATTCAACAACAACAGAACAAATATTCAAGGCTCTGAACCATTTCTAGGTCACGCAAAACTGTGATACTGACCAAGTTGAGGTCTTTATACAAAAACATCAGACTTTTTTTAGTCTTATCTCTTCCAGTGAAGAACATACTTAAACAACATCAGGAGGATTTGATCTGCACATCAGTGGCTTTTGCACAAACTTGTGGACTGCTCGAGCATATCAAATACTAAGAAATTCTGAAATTCATGTTAAAAGATACTACTTTTCATTGAAATTGTTATGCTGACAATATAATATGCAATGAAAACCTTTCTATGAAATTAGAAAGGAATACAAAATAGAATCACTTTCACTGTGGCCTTAGACTTCTGAGACCAAACAACTCACGACAAAAATAAGCAGTAAAACATGAACTGTTTTGTTGTTGTTATTGTTGTTGATGATGTCAGAAAGGCCAATGCATTTACATCCACTTATTTAGCCATGCCAAAGCCTTTTCATTCAAGCTGAAGTGTTTCAGCCCATACTGCTTTCTGAATACAAGACAGCCAATCAGAATAGAGATCATTTATATAGATCAGTCTTCAAGGCACAGTAAAAGCCTGTTACATTCTAGATGGAAAAAAGGATGGAAAATAGTCATGAAACCATGAATTATGACTGTTTTTGGTACATAATGCACAGAAGCAAGAGGACCTCAGGGAACCCATGAGTCATGAGTGGGAAAAAATGCATAGTAGTGATATAAGGGGTCCAATAAACATGTTATGGGGTCCAGTCCCCACAGACCCCCACCAATCTGCATGCTGCGTGCGTCAGTGCAATCGCCCTGCCTGCACTGATTCTGAGTACAAGGAGTTCTACCACAGCTATTTAGAATGCCTTTGATGTCCTGCCCTTCTGCTGCACTTGGTGTTACATTATGTTCTGATAATTTGTAGTGTCCCATTAGACATACTACTTTTACAGAACCACAAGGTAACAGCAGGGCTTGATGAGTGCTTTTCCAAGCAAAACTCATCTGGTTCTTGTAGAACTCCACTCAGCCTGATTCTCACAGCTGGCTCCAAGAGGCTTCCTGAAAAGAGAAGGGCAGCTGGGTTTTGGTAAAGTTGTTTGCCTGATTGTGCATGACATCTTTATAGTTGATCAAGGGTACCATGCCTTCTGTGCTCCAAGGCTACAGAAGAAAGCGGTGATGAATGTGTTTTCTTTGTTTTCTTGTAAGAGATCTCAGCTGTTCTTGGCCCAGTCCTGACTCTATAAAAGTTGTGCAAGTCCAGTTTGTGTGCCACAACAGGACCTTGTGAGCATGGAATGTCATTATTGGAATATAAGAAATTGGGTATCCAAGCAAATGCCCCCAACAAATAAACCACACAGAGAGAAACATGAGAACGGACCATGCTTAAACGTGGGCATGTTATTGTTGTAAGGGCCATTATCCTATTTTTTCCCTCCAGTGGTCCACTTATGACGTTTATGTGGGTTTATGTACCAAAAACATTAGGACTTTATTTTTACACGCACATTTTCCAATCTCTTTCTCAAATTGAACAAGCTGTTTTTGTTACTGTGTCTTTAAGACTGAATAATCATGTGCAAACATTTGAATACCCCTGGTCAAATTACATTATTTGTTGATTAAGTCAAAATAACACATCCTCAACAAGGAACAACGGCATTTTTGTGCCAGGTTTAGTGCAAATTGTCTATTTATTTGCTGGGCTTCACATATTGAAAGAAAGAATAAAATCTAAAATATGCCATAGCACAGGCCACATTTTATGTTTTATTATTTGTCCCCAATGTGTTAAATTCGACTAACAAACAGTAATTGTGCTTTAGAATGTGCAGAAGTGTGCTATCTGTAGAGAATGTGTACTTATTTTCACTTAGAAAACCAACAGAACGTGTTTTGACCAGGGGTGTCTAGCTGGACAGCTGTACTGACCCTCATTGAAGAAACAGTCCAGGCTGAAACACTCCTTATAACTCCAACGTGAATGGGCAGAGCTAAACTGCTGTAGGCTGAACAGGTAGATATATGTAATGCATTGCTTTGAACAGTCACTTCCAAACAAGCTTGTTTTGCAGTTTAATTTCCATATATTGACCATTTAGGCTGGTCAGTGAACTGTGCATTTTGAAACTAGAATAATGTTAACATACTACATCAAACTTATCATTTTAATCATCAATACATTGATATTATTTCAAGAAAGTGAAAAAATTTTGGTTTGTCATGATATGGACTCGTTAAATTAGTTGAGCAACTGTCCAGATGGAAACAAGTTTGAGGTGTGCACAGCCAGTCTGAACACAAGGGGACAGTAAAGGCTTTTTACACCACACAGCTCCCCTGATGCCTACTGCACTCAGCATTTCTGCAGTGAGCTACTGCTAGACCTCAATCTTCCTCAACACAGCTCATTCATCTAATGTCTCCCGCTGAGTTCTGGCAAATGAAGCGCGCCTATTCTCTCACACAAAATGAGACACTTGCAACCAGCAGGGTTTGGCTGGGGAGGTGTGGGGAATTGTGAAAGGTTTGCAGATGAGTTCAGCGCGCCTCCAGACGGCTGAGGCTGTTAATAAGCCCGGCTGTTTGTTGAATCATTCGGAAAGCAGCCGCTCGGTCTACACGAAAGAGGTTCAGTGAGTCAACTCACAAAGGGTGCATCCAGACAGGTGGTCAGAAACATAGCATGCAGTAAAGCAGTCATCACAGAAGTGGAAGTGTCCTGATATACATGGAGCTAAACAGCACACAGACCTAAGGATGGGTGAGAAGTATCATATCAAAATATCATATCACGATACATAAAGACATATTTCACTATATATATCAAGATAGTTCGACATACAGAAACAATGTACTGCCACATTTGAAAACTGCAATGAAAAACTGGGTGCGATTAAATTTTACTTTTCACATACTGTACTGGGCTAAATCCAGTTAAACAGGACTAGTTATGCTTTCTGGGTAATAAAACATGCAGTTGGTCAATGTTTTTAAGTGTGGATATCCACAATATGCTCAGAAGAGCACATTTCTTATCATGATAACAATAAAATACTGTCATATTGCCAATCTGTTTACTTCAAATAAACATGTGAGAGTACTTATGTACCAACATAAAAATTTAGTATCACAATAATTACCTAACATTTTATCACAGTTTATGATATTATGTAATCATGTTAGATTAAAATGCAGTCACTGTATTTCAAACTGTTCACGAGAACAATATCGTACACTTCATTACCGAGTATTGTCTATGTGTGAGTAGTACACATTATTTGTGAATCCTATCCCTCCTTTTTACTTTAGCACTAAGTAAGAAAGTAAGAAAGAATATATATATATATATATATATATATATATATATATGTATATAATCCTTAAATATATAAGTATATACTTCAATGCAATTATAATTAATCAAAGTGGCTACAAAAACAACTTGCCAACTGCAGTAGAAAGAACTAAAAAAAGGATCCTCTAGAACTGGAGAAGAAACCTCTTGAAGACTCAGCATCCAGGAGACCAGGAGTTTACTAAATGCTATTCGTTTCTTTTTAGGACAGAATGAAATTTAAAAAAAGAAGGATTTACTTAATAAATGTTCCTAAAGGAGGAAAGAGTCTATCCTGTTCCTCTCAAATACGCATAAACATGTAAGAGCGTTTAAAAACAATCAAAGAAGTACAGAGTCTTTACAAATGCTATTTCAGTAGCCTACATGCCTAAAAAAAAGATCTCTAAGGGTTCTTCAGTAAAGGGAATGGCTCTATTTAGTAACATGGTTCTATACAGAGCCTTTTTGAAAATGGTTCTGTACTGCACCAAAAAGGGTTCTTCTGTTGATACAAGCTTGACATGGTAACAATAGCAGAACCCTTTTTACTGCTATATAGAACCATTTTTAAAAGGTTCTACATAGAACCACATACAGCACATTCTCAATCAATCTCAGGAAAATACGGAGCCCTACTGGTGACCTCCTGTATAAATAAAAATAGTGCGTGGCCACGACTTATTAATACGTGGGAACGAGATCCTAATGCATGGCCACAACTTAGTAAGTGGGAATGAGATGATTAAGTCGTGGCCACGACTTAGTAAGGTGTGGGAATGAGATCACGGCTTACCAAGTCGTGGCCACGCATTAGGATCTCGTTCCCACGCTTTACTAAGTCGTGGCCACGACTTAATCATCTCATTCCCACGCCTTACTAAGTCGTGGCCACGCATTATTCTTATTTATACAGGATGTCACCAGCTGGGCTCCGTACTGGAACCATTTCCCATGCAAAACACCATTTAAGCATGAAATGGTTCTATGCAGAACTCATGGTTCTAAATAGACACCTTATAGCCACCTTTGTTAAGGGTGTACATTGAACTGGGTAAATGTAAGCTAACTAGGTACTTCCTATATCATATCGAGCTCCATCAGCTGATGTGTTTAGAGCAACAGGCTTAAGGGAGCCAGTGCAGCTGGGAGGGAGGGAGGTTCCTAGCAGCTGTGAGCTATTTTACCACGTGACAGCAGGGCTGTTTGTAGCAGCCATCATATTACCCAACACAAGCCCAACCTAAAAAAGGAGAGAAGCCGAGGGGACGAGGCGGAGAGCCATGGCTTTGCACAGGAATACCGTTTGAAAGACGCTCCGTTCATGTTCAGCTAGCCCGTGTAGCCTACGCGACCTGCAGGTGAGACTGCATGTATGTTGTTGTTTTTTAAATAAATTCTGCGAGGCTGTTGTCTGCCTAAGCGAGATGTGTTAATGTAGTCTGCACGGGTCACATATCCGAGGGTTTCAAACGCAAAAACGTGGAGTTAAGGGACGCAAGACTTCGCTGAAAGAGCCAAAGCCGAAGCATTGAGGAAATAAGACACTAGTGTATTATGAGTTAGCATTCCGCGCCCAAATGTAAATAATGAAACGAGGCTACTTCCTGCGATAAAAGAAGGGGAAGCATGTCGTTGCTTCATGTTCAGTAAGGGTAACAGCTGGGCAATTAGCAACATAAGGCTAAGCCACAGCCTCAGTAAGCTAGGTTTGAATGTTAAAGTGGCGTTAACACCCAGAAAGTCATACCGTCTTTGTTTCGTTTAGCGTTCGTGCTAAGAAAGGTAACTAGCGTTACAGGTTAACTGGTGCACTATGACTTGAATAGGAAAGGTTAGACCGGTCACCCATTCGCTAAACCAAACGTTACACTCGCTCATGGTCAGTAGAAGAAAGCCACACTAACGAGCTCAATACAGTATAAGCAGGTCTGCGCTTCTTAACCTCGCTCTGTCTGAACACTAACGCTCCCACAAAGACAAAAAACCTGCTGTGAACGTGGCCCACCGCTTCACTTTCGTTTTTAGTGGCTGACTGAGGCGTTTTGTCTCACGGCTCGGGTTTAGTCTGCTGGAAACATGTTTAACCAAGCCAAGTTTTATCGAGCGCCTTAATCTTTAAACAAGCTCTTGGTAAACACTGAGAACCTGTTGTCGTGGTTACTTGAACAGTGTTGCGCTTTTTAGACTCGCTCTTGCTGTTTTAGCAGGAATTTTCCATGTCTTTCCGTCAGGTGCCAGCTGTTTTACGTTAGCAGTTGAAACGCAGGTTTGGTTAAAAGTCCTCCAAAGCAGTTATCGCTGAAATGTTTTGGTTAAAAAGCGCAAAATAAGTCTTCTTTGGCAGTGTTAGCCAGACTAGAGCAGGGCCGTCGTTCTTCTTCAGCGTTTTCTTGTCCCTGGTGACGAAGTGTTTGTTTGAAACCAAGAAAGCAGCAGCCAAGAAATACTTCAGGAGTTCAGGCAGGTTGTGGTTCCTCCTGTGTGTCTTGCAGACCAGGAGATCTTACCCCTTCTTTTACTTTAAGTACTAGCCGGTGTTTTCATGCACCGTTTTAAGTTCTGACCTCAGAAACATAAACTAGTAAAATGTCTGCTCTGAAGCAGGGGTTGTTTGGGTCCACGCAGGGACAGAGAGATGGGTATCCACTGCTGGGTCTCCAAGAGGGAGTTCTCAATAGAAATAGCCTACCAGTGTGGTGAGAATGTGTTAGATTCAAGGCTAAACCTACTGTTGTTTGATGAGAATTGAGAGAATAGCTATAAAGGCATGCATAATTACACCATTAAGATGTGAATAAATGTCATTTAGGGTTATGAAAAGAAGAACTTGGATTGATGTATGTAGTACATCGGTCAGTTGGCCTGTGTTCATCAAGCATCTCAGAGTAAAAACACTCATTCTGGATCAGCTCTCATCAGTCTTCTAATTGAATTCAGAGTTATGCAAAAGGTGTAAACTGATCCCAAATCAGTGTTCTTACTGTGATCAACATGAGCCCAGATATTCCAGGCCTAAAACCTCCCTGACAGGGTGCTTAGTTATACATTTACACACATGAAGATGTTACCTGGTGCCTGAGATGTTTTGCTAAAGTTTTGAACATGTTTTTTTAAATTGAATTGATAGTAATGAAGCAGTGCTTCAGTGCTTGATGTGTGAGGAGCAGCTCTTCCGGAACTGCTGTGAATCAGGCAGATGAGTTCATCTAAACAGGTCTTTCAGGGCTAACAGTAGAACACTTGATTGGCTAACATAACACGACAGTGCTATGGTGATTCTTGTGTTGTAGTTTATCACAAAAGAAGTTAAATGATGATCAAAAGATGTCCCCAGTTGATCAGCAGTGATCAAAGAAAGAGCACAACAAAGTTCTTTTATTCGGTCTCTTAGTGTCCAGACTGATTCACCAAAGCTGGACTGCTTAAAGACTTGGGACATTTGGATCCATGAGAGTGACTACTAGCACACAGTGTCCCAGTGCTGACTTGGCTCAGTAGTTTGTGAAGTTTGTTGGCCTAAGTGCTGCTTTCAAGCCTCTTGGAACTGACAGCTGGTACCTGGAAGTGGGCAAGAGTGGCACCCAGTAGTGCTCAGTGTCCCCACCAGTCCTGCAACAAAAGGGCTTTTATTGATCCATGCACAAAGATGCAGAACATATTCAGAATTGACCTCAGATTTTGAGTGCAGAACTGATGTGTAATACTATTGTTTTAGACTCTCATGCTTATTTCACCACACCTCACTTTTTCTCCGTCATACACTAGTTCACACGCTGCTGACTGTGAAGAATTTGTGGGTGCCCTGTTTCGGTTAACCATTGAAACACTAAGTCAAAACAGAATAATTTTGTGTAGCTATGATGGCACATCCATCAGTTTTATTTGAATCATTTCCTGGGATTCATTTCCACACTTGTTAGTAATTTTCAGTTCAAACCAGATTTTACATTTTATGATCAGATCATTGTTTTATGATTGCATATTGTAGCTGCTTAAACCTTTTAATGTAAGGTTCTATTAAGTTTGGAGCATTTCTATTGATCCACTTCCAATTCACACGATGTGAAGGATAGCTGCTGGAGATATAATACCAATATATATATATATATATATATATATATATATATATATATATATATATATATATATATATATATATATATATATATATATATATAATCTCTCTCTCTACAGTAGCATAGAACATTTTCAATAATGTCCAGTTCCAATACTGTGACTACTGTAGACCTAGTGTTACAGGAAAAACAGGTTATTGTTTGCATTTAACCTACAGGTTTAAGGTGGCAGTTTTCAGTGTTTGTTCATCCTGACTTGCCAACGAGTTCCAGAACTTTGGATGTCACAACAGAAGGAAAAGTACTGGCAATAAACTAATCTCCTGAACTGGTAGCAGTGATGTGCTAAAATGTTCCAGACTTTCATAGTCTCAGTTCTGATGACAGCACAGTGACTTACAAGGGAGGATACATGGCCTCCCTTATATTCAGTGAAAGATTCTCCTCAGTGTTTCCTATGCTAAATAAGGTGAGTGGATGAACTCTGTGAACCATCCAAACAACATGCCGTGCTGTCATCATTTGTCTCTGAGTTCTATTGGTTACAGTGCGAGTGGGGTGGAGCAGCATTCGTTAGGAGTTTCTTTATAATGGCAGCTTGTGTTTACTTTGACTGTGCTGTTTCAAATTTGGCTGCCAGCATTGTTAGGGTGACATTTGGTTGGCTTGCCAAGTTATGTAACTTGACTAAATTGGTGAAAACTCATTAGGCTAACGAGATATTGAGACCCAGTATTTACAGAAGTCTAATGAATGATGATCTTAAACTGAGCTGATTTGGTCTGGAGTGTAGCTAAATGTGCTTGGTTGCTTGGATAAGTGCTTATCACTGCTATTGACTGCCCACCTCATGAATCGTAGTGTAGCTGTTTTGTCAGTAAGCTTTACCAGAAGAACCAATCTAGCACATCTTTTATTGTGGTAACTTGAGTTTGAACAAGTGGCCTTGTAAAAGGAGTTTTATCTAGGTGGTTTTTTTTCAAGAAGTGTAAGGAGTGTCTGGAAACCCACTGAGCAGGTTGTCAGTTTGTACAGCGAATGCCCTGTCAGTTACCTGCTCTCACTGCATTTCTTAATTGAAATCAGTTTTCATGCTCTTTACAGCTTGAACTGAGAAAGCTGCACTGAATTAATGCCTTTTATTAAGTAATTATACCAGCTGCACAGGCCATGTCAGACAAATCTGGAGTCTGATCTCACATCTGCTCTGAGTTGAAGCTCCACAGTAACCTATTTCAACCTTCTCTTGGCAAATATCACCGTAGGCCTTCTGACAAGTGACTGTTCCAAGCACCTCCACTGTAACAAACAATTTTTGCAAATTAAAACTATAGAACTAATTATGCAGTCTGAAATATTTACGCTACATCACATTAGCTGCAAGTTATTTGATATGTTTGACTAACTTTTAGTTTTTGAGTAATAAGCAACACATCAGCAAAAGTCTCTTGTCTATAGGAGTGGTCTGCAAGACTGCCAGTCTCCTCATGTAGCGTTAAGTTTCGCATAATGACATGAATACATTTTTAAGATAGGTAATGAGTTGAAGTGTAGTTGTTTTCCAGTACAGTATTTATGATCCAAGTGTGAATTTTTCTTGTTTTGGTTGTGTTGAGTTCTGAAAGCATCTAGAACAAATGTTGAGTCTTGCTGTTGTAGATGTGTTTATTTCATGGTATCTGGGGTCTGTCTCATGAAGCATGTATAACTTGGAGTGGGCCTGACGAAATTCCATCTACACAAAACCTAACAAATGCAGCTTTCTCCAGTAACCTGTCGCACGAGGCAGGATCTTTGACTGATCAGTGCCAAGCTTATTTTTTCCATTCTACTTAAGTATTAAGAATATAAAGCAGTTCTTACTCCAGTAAGCACAAACACAATGGCAGTGGTGGTCTTAATGGAGAAAGTTGTTAACTATCAGTGGAATGAGTTATTTGTCGTTTTTTTGTTAGGTTTTGTGAACCTGAAACAGTCAGGAGTTCTGTCTTGTGTTGGGCTTGCTTTGTGAGACAGGCCCCAAGTTTAATTACTGAAGCTGTGATTCTTATGCATGCACGTCACCACTGCCCCCATTGTTAGTGCTTATTGGAGTAATAACTGCTTTGTATTGTTTATGTGTATTAGTATTTGTGTCCTCTGCAAACTTGCCCTTTTTGGTCCAAGAGCTGTTTAATTTGACATCTTAAACTTAACCTGCCCTGGAACAGGTTAGACCTGCATCATATGTTTACCATTGTGAGACAAAGTCCAGGAGTGGATCAAGCTTATAGTTATCTGGCGTAGAAATGCAT